CGATATCCTTTAACAAGCTAAATTAAAGCACTAGCTTAATAAGCACCGCTTAAAAGAACAGCTCTTTTAACATTATAAATGCGAATAGCTATACGAAAGTTTAGCTTATATTAAAAGCTTTCTTTTTAAACGATAAGCACGATAACTAAACCTTTTTTATTATTATAAATAAAAAGATCTAGATATACTTGTATTACTTTCGAATTAATAATTTAAAAAGAGCTTCGATCGATGCATTCTTTAACATAATGCACTCTTTAATCTAGCAAGTCCTTCGAAGCTATTATAAGCTATACTTTGCCGCTTTACTTAATCGCCGAGATAAAAACTATAAGCTTATCGCTTACTCGGAACTTTTTTAGCTTTTTAAATATAATAATAATGCTCGAGTAATTGCAACTAAACACGACGCTAATACTAAACGACTTGTAAACCGTGATTTACGAATAGAAAATAAAGTTTTAAATTATTATTTAATACTTTACGGCGTAAATAGTTAAATCGAAAGCTTAGCTGTTTAACTTAAAAGCTATACTTACGATATTACTTTTAAAAAGACCGTTAAATAAAAAGCTTTTAAACTTAAATCGAAGACTTTAAATGCTTTTAAGAACATTGCGTTACGCTAGCTTTTCGTTATAATCAATAACTTTACTACTTTTATATCGATCATTACGAAACAAAAAGTTTTCTTAAATATAAACGCTTTTTAAAATTCGCTTTACGAATAAGCAATCTTCTTTAACAATTATACCGCTTTACTAAACGATAACATTTTAGAAAATAGAATCAGCTTTATAAAGCACGCTTACACGATCGTCTTAAAACGCATGCCGCTAACTTCTCGATAAAGAGTTATTAATAAATCAAATCAACTTTTCGCCGCTATAATTTAGTTAAATTACGTTAATTACGTATCGAAAGCTTTAATTAAAAGAATAAATTAAAACGAACTTCGAATAATAAAAGAATTGACCGTTATCTTTGCTATATCTCGGACTTAGTTTTAAAAACACTTTATTAAGTATAAAAAGAAGTTGTTTTCGGCATTTAAAAAAAGATTTACTATTATTTTAAATGCTAAAGCTAAGACTTACGAAGCTAAATCTTTTTCTAAAAGCAAAAGCCGCCGAGCTAACGACTTTATAAACGCCGATAAGTTAAAAGATTTTAAAAAAAGCATACGACCGATTAAATTGTTCTTAAACGACTTTGATTTAAGTATAAAGATCAATTTAAAAAATGCGAAATCTATTCGTAAACTACGGTTCACGAGCTAAATCGGCAATCTTAAAGCATTATCTTCTTAATCGGAATCTTTAGACCGCGCATTCGATAAAGCTATAAAAGCTTTAAATGATTTGCTTAAAAACGAAAACGACTTAACTAATAGCTTTAAACTTTATTTTAACTTTGCTAACTTTCCGTCGGCTAAATTTATACTTATTAACGATGCTACCGGTAATAAACGTAAAAACGATACGCGCTTTTTCACTTTTAAAAATGCTGCTGTTAGCACGTTATCATTTAATATTAGCTTAGCTAAAAGAAAAAGACCTTTTCAACTTAAAAAGAACGAAAGAGTTAAGGACGTAAGCACGAAAAGAGATCATAAAGAAGCTGCCGAAAAGTAGTTTAAACGTTTAAAGTTTAAAGACAAGATACCTTTTCTTTTTTTTATATATTAAAATTTTTCTTTCTTTTACACCTTTTTTTTCTTCTTGCTTAATAGTAAGCGAAAGCGCTTACTTATTTTATAAAAGGACGGATATAAACACTTTGCTTGATAAAGTACTTGCTATAGCTATTAAAGCTATACTAGACGGACCTATCTTTTATAAGAAGGCATACGTCTTTTAACTAAAACAATCAACGAGCTTTCTACCTATCTTTTTTAGCACTTCTTTGTAAGACCATGAGGTCTAGCCTCAGTGTCAGGCTTCTGTATGACACGTCTTTTTTGGTGCTTCTATATTATTTCTTATTTAAACGTTTTAGCTTTTAATCTATTATTATAAAAAAGTAGAGCTATCGCATAATAATATATACGCTTTTAAAAGGATAAGCTTAATGCAAAAGATCAACTAGCAATAATTATTATCGAATTGATCTTTTTTTAAGCCCTTATAAGCTTTTCGGCGGCATACTAAGACGCGTTTTTAGTTATTGCTAAAAAAAATTTAAAGTCTACACGAAAATTAATAAAAGCTTAAAGCTTGATTTATATAAATCGAAATGTAATAGCGATATAAATTATCTTCAGCTTTTAGATTATAAACTTAATATCGAAAAGGTCTTTAATCCTTTAACGATCGAACTCGCTAAGCTTTCGAAAGAAGTTGAATTTGAATTTCGCTATCTCGACTCGAAACGCTTTTAAAATACTTTTATTCTCTTATATCAATTTATCGTATTCATCTTTATCAAGCCCTTTTAAGATCTTTTAGATGCCGTTAGCGATATCGTATCTTTGCAAAAGTGCTTTAATAATAGTTGTATAACAATGTTCGAATTCCGAATAATCTAATAAATAAGCGACATCTTCGCTTTAAGCGACCGTCTCGATGGTTTCGAACTATTCGTTTAAATTCGATTCAATAAAAGTCTCTACGCCCTTTTATTATCTTATCTTAGCGAATTTTTCTCGAATGATAGCTATATTAATAAATTGATAAATGATTAATATTAGGCGATGATCGATAGTTTAATAATAGAGGAAGGGGAAGGGAAAAGGAGGGGTTAAGTTCTTACTATTACAAAGTAATATTTCGCATAAAGCGGGAAGTCAAGCCGATTAACGAGTTTGCGGATTGCGTATTGCGAATTGCGTATTTCGTCACCTTTTAAGCATTAAAGGCTCATAATCTATTAAAAGATAATTCTTCTTTATAATAAAAAAGCAAAAGGTGGTTCTAATTATATTAATTTCGGTTATCTAAAAAAAAAGAATCCTTTTAAAATAAATGAAAATTATATACAGTTCTCCTTTTGCGCTAGCTAGCTATTCCTTCTTCCAAATAGCAGTTATTATCCATCTCTTCAAGAGTTGCTTAGCAGCAATAGCACAGACCTTATAGTGTAAGAATTTCTTATTCTAACAATATACATATTTACAGTTGCTCCCGTGCTTTCCTAAATAGATCAAACACTTCTATCGCTATCTCTTAGACCTTTGATCTGCTTCACCTATTTAGGTATACGCCATCTATCACTATATTGAGTAATATTTTAAAACCGTATTGCGATTATGCAATTCAGTTATATACTCGTCTTGCAAACCAACTTTACTACTTTAATAAGAGATGATTCGAAAGCGAGTTTAATACGAAAAGAGGACGTATATAATAAAGTTAAGGATTTGTATTTGTTTTGTTTATGTATATAGTATTAATGCTAAGCACTTTTATTACGTAGGTATATCGCGTGCTTTAGCTCTGCTAAGCACGTAGTAAAGTCACGTGCTTACTCTAATATAAACGAGTAGTTGGTTCCTTCTTGAACTAGCACTATATTAATATAATATTTACACGCATACATATAGAACGCAATCGAATGTCCTCGAACGTCCTTCTTCTCTCTTCTTATTCACCTACGATTCTATTATGATTATATATATATATATATCTTTTGATTTAACGTTAGGTATATGTCGGAGCTCTTCCCCTCTATAATACATACGTATTTACTTATTTATTTACTTACGTATTTGCTTTTCCTTTTTTAAATACTTTTTATTACTTATTTATTTTAATTTACTTAGTTATTTTACTTTTTCGTTGCGCTGCTTTGATTTGCTTTGCTTTATTTTGCTTTATTTTGCTCTGCTTCGCTCTGCTTCGCTCTGCTTTGCTCTGCTTTGCTCTGCTTTGCTCTGCTTTGCTCTGCTTTGCTCTGCTTTGCTTTAACTTGCTCTACTCTACTTTGCTTTGCTTTGCTTTGCTTTATTAAAAAAAAAGTTCGAGAAAAAGATCTTGCTAAGTTCGCGGACGCTTCGTACTCAATCGACTTTTAAATATTTTCCAAAAAAAAAAGGCTTTCGAATTAAATAAAATCTTCTAGCTTGCATTTACATCAATAACGACGACGAAGATTACAAGAAAATAAATCCTTATCTTCGTTTTCTTTAATAAAAATAATACTTATTAAATAACAAGAGCTTAAGAAAGAGCTTGGAGAAAAAAAAAAAAAAAAAAAGAATTCGCCGCTGATTCGATCTGTAGCATCTCTTAACTCAATTCAAAGGACACGCGGTGAAGTAAAATTTTCGTATCCAGCTTAATTAAGAATGAATAATATTATTATATATATATATATATATATATTATTGCAATTTTATAAGAAATGTTATAAGCAATATAAGTGTCTACGTTCTTCGCGGTTTTGAGCGTTGAAGCGGGACATAATTTTTTCGCCTACTTTAGGGAAGGGCCCCAAAAGTTGCGACGTCAAGGCCCACTATTATGTCAATATTGCGAAGACCTTCACGTTGCAAGGCTGGTCTTGGCCTCTCTGGTTTCACGAAAACCGAGATTCTCGCGCCGAACCAGACACCGCATGCGCAAGAGCAAATTCTCACAATCAATATGCTCAAAAGACCTCAGACGTGAGATGAGTGAAACGCGCACTGGAAGTACTATCCCCCTCCTCGGGAGCACGAGTCAAAACGCAGCAGAAAATATATCCGTGCCACCCCTGGATCCTGCCTTCACAAGCTCGCACTGTACAGAGATAGGATAGTGGATCCTCGGTTAAAGATCACAGACGGTGTTTCGGCAAGATCGCGATGCATTGTTACTACTATAAGCTCATAAGCTTCGTCGCTTACTGCTTTCTCTTGTTGACAACGATACAGCCGTATATTTTGTAGGGGCTGTGTTCTCAAGTTCTTCCTTCGATTGTGGCGATTCTATACAACCAGACGAGGCCTCGAGTTCTGTCCAGCATCTTTTCTTATATGAACAACGACGAGCGATTCAGACCAATCGGGACCAATATCAAAAATGGCGGTCGTTGATACCCCCGAATTGGCGCGGGGATACACCGCTGTGAGCAATACACAATTTGACGCGGGCTTGTTCCTGCTTCAAAGACTGAAGGTCGTCCCTGGCCATCACGTTCTCGACGTTGGCTGTGGACCGGGGAATATCTCCGCCCACATCGCCGCAATCGTGGGGGAGGATGGGACCGTCGTCGGGATTGACCCGAGCAGAGAACGCATCGGGCTCGCACTCGAGCTGGTGAAAGCGGCCCCTAATCTGTCGTTCCACGTCGGAAGAGCCGAGGACCTCTCGCGCTTCCCCTCCGCCAGCTTCGACGTCGTCTTTGTCAACTCGACCTTTCACTGGGTCCGGGATCAGCCGGCGGCGCTGGCGGAATTCGCTCGCGTGCTGAAGGCGGGAGGTCGCGTTGGCATTTCAGGAGGGAGCGGGGACTTCGTGGCGGCGCACGAAAGGATCAAGGAGGACGTGCTGGCGAGAGAGCCGTACCGGAATTATCCAGATGTGGGCGGCCCTAGATTCGTCAAGCGGGCGCATCTCGAAGGTCTCCTCCAGATCGCTGGGTTCTCGGAGCGAGATATCGTGATCAACACGATCATCAAGTCGGCCAAGGACGGAGACGCGATGATTGAATGGCTGGATACCTCTTCGTCTGGGGCAACTTATGGAGGCATCCCTGTGGACCTCCGACCAAAGGCGAGAGAGGAAATGAAGCAGGAGTGGGCGAAGATCACAACAGAAGAGGGTATTCAGATGCCGATGGAACTATTGTGAGTTGATCAGGCATCGCCGACTTGCCATCGAGAGTCTCATGAGCAGATAGATCACTTTGGATCTGCTCCACACATGATCTTTTTCTGACGGCATGTTCTTTACAGGGTTACCGTCGCCATTCGAGACTAGCAAAGCCAACCGTTCAGGTTCACCAGCTATGCGCCTCCTCTCCCATGGGAGCCTCTTCGACAAATTCGCTGGCTCTATGGTTTTGTGGTTGGTGTGGACGGAAAGCAGCGAGCGGATAATTAGTTTATATGTATTTTGGGCTTTCCATGAGTTTGCACGGCATCTACTGCTGCATTCGACGTGTAATGGTGTTGCATTATTTATATCCGGTAGCCTTAATAGACGAAGCTGACGAGCTTTCGATGAGCCTGTTCGGGAACGCATTGCTACTCTCCCTCGTCCATCTGAGACTCATACCTTGGCAAAGTAGATATAATCTGAAGTGATACCAATTTTTAAACCCGTGAGAGATTCAAGCATTCATCGTACAACAACAACATCAAGAAAGCACTCACCGTCCTTGGCTACTCTATGCACCAACGGCCCTTGTCTATGCAATGACTCGACGCAGACGGTGACTGACGTAAGGGCACCAGTCAAGTCTCAAGTCAAGCAGTCCAAGGAGGCCTAACTAGGCTCCGTAGCTACGGAATTAGTAGCGTTCGTATTTGCATCCGGTTTCGGAATATTTATCTTTTCCTTCCTTTCCTGATTCCTCCGCCCCTTTTCTGATGTCCGTTCTACCCGCGACTCGACTAGAACTCAACAATGTCAATACCACAACCACAGCAACAGCAACAACAACAACAAATTAATAATATCGTAGAGAAAAATGCAGATGCGTCACAGTATACTGAAACAGGACAGGAATCTATGGCACGAGATGATGCGTCTTTTATGAAAAGCCCCATTCCCGCTTCCGAGGAGGTGGGAGCAGCCACCGCGGCAGGCATGACTTCCAAAACGACCAACGACGACGACTCAAATCTAGCTCTGGGCAATGAATTCATTGTCTCCTGGAACGAACCGGAAGATCAAGATCCAGAGAACCCCCTCAACTGGTCCTCGGCTAAGAAATGGCTAAACATATGTACCATTGCGGTAATCAGCTTCATCGTGTAAGTCGACGGAACCCACGCCCATGGAGCCAGCCGGGGAGAGAGGGAATTGCTGACGAGCTCCCCAATAGCCCCCTCGTCTCCTCGATACTTGCACCGGGTGTCAAGCTCGTCATGGCCGAGTTCGACACCACGTCGACGACGTTTGCCACCTTCGTGGTCTCCATCTTCGTACTGGGCTTTGCATCCGGGCCGTTGCTGCTCGCGCCCCTGAGTGAGCTCTACGGTCGCGTCGTCGTCTACCACACGACCAACGTCCTCTTCTTGGGCTTCAACGTCATGTGTGCTCTCTCGCCAAATCAATCGGTGCTCCTGGCCGCTCGGTTCTTCGCGGGGTTCACGGGTGTAGCCACGATCACGATAGGTTCGGGCACGATCACAGATCTGATGCCGAAGGAGAAGAGAGGAAAGGCCGTGTCGATTTGGTCGGTGGGTACCATTTCCGGTCAGTCACCTTGGTGGTCATCTTGGTATGAGCATCCATGGCATCGTATTACGCTGACTGACGCCCGAGCAAGGCCCGGCGATCGGCCCCATCATTGGCGGCTACGTGGCCCAGGGGCTCGGATGGAGATGGATATTCTGGGTCGTCTCCATCGTCGTGGGTTCTCCCCCGAACGTCGTCGGCCGTCAGTGTTACTCACCCGCTGTGCTAGATCGGAGTCGTAGCCATCGCTGCATTCTTGATCCTGGAAGAGACGTACGCGCCTGTCCTGCTGGAGAGGAGAGCGGCGAAGATCAGGAGCGATACGGGCAACGCCGAATATCGATCCAAGCTCGCGTCGGACCTCACGCCGCGAGATCACTTCCGAAGCAGCATGGTTCGGCCGCTGACCCTGCTGGTCTGCTACCCCATCGTCACGGTCATGTGTGCGTACGTGGCTGTGTTGTACAGTCTCCTGTACCTCCTCTTTTCCACGTATTCCTTCGCCTTCACCGTCGTCTACGGCTTTTCCACCGCGGAAAACGGCCTCAACTTCCTCGCCGGTGGCATCGGTACCCTGATGGGACTTGCATACATCGGGAAGCTCAGCGACAGAACCCTGAGGCGGCGGGCAGCCGCCGGGAGAGAGCTCACGCCGGAAGACCGCCTCCCCCTCATCATCACCATCCCCGGCTCTCTTACCTTCCCGCTGGGCTTGTTCGTCTACGGATGGAGCTTGGAGTACGGTGCTCACTGGATCGTGCCTCAGATTGGAACGGCCATCAGTGAGTTTTCTCATCCTTTACTTCATGATTGTACCCTCCTCCACCAGGGAGCAGAGCTGTGCCGCGAGCGCTCCTCACTCCCCTGAATACCGCGAGGAGCATACGCACCGACTGACCTTCGACACAGCGGGATTCGGTTCGATCATCGTGTTCATCAGTGTCCAGACCTACCTGATCGATGCTTTCGAAGCCCACGCCGCGAGCGTGGTCGGGGCCAATGCGGTGCTGCGAGGCACGGCTGGCGCCCTCCTTCCCTTGGCTGGTCTGCAAATCTACGATGAACTGGGATGGGGCTGGTTAGTAGCCCAGTAATATCTATATACATATACATATATATACATATATACATATATATATATAGATATAGATATAGATATATCTCTCGGATGTCTGATCACCGCTGACATCTTGAGACTCGACAGGGGAAACAGCCTGCTGGCATTTCTTGCTCTTGCCTTTGCGCCTCTGCCCTGGATCCTCGGCAGATACGGTGCCAAGATCCGACACTTCAAGTACAGCTAGGTACCGGTAGGTCAGAGCCGGTCTGGCTCGCCCAGCTGCACGTGGCAGGGCCCGTTTGGCGCACACGCAATCTAAGGTAGTAAGAAGGAATAGCGATTCGCGACATGAGACGTACGAAGTAGGGAAAATATTAAACCCGGTATCACAACTGACTTATTGGTTCCTTGCTGTTGTCTTCGTTGTCGTTTCCTTTTTTCTTATTTTTAATTGCAGTGTGTAGAGCGTGTGGCTATGTATGTCCTTAGCCTTCTCTCCGTACTGTTCTCCCTCTTCAATGGCCTCTATAATTGCCTCTATAATGCGCATAACGATATCCTCGGCATTCTCTCCGCATTGTATCCCTCCTTGGTTGCAATGCGCGCAACTCTATCCTGAGCATGTTCTCGGTATCGCAGCCCCTTTTAATTGCACTACACTTCTGAGTGTATGAGGTGAGGTTGTATTCTCTAAGCTACCGTACTCCCGGGAAAAGTCCATGTAAGGTAGTCCCCAAAGGTGGAACGTGCGTGCACCCTAATCCCCCTGGTGGCCTCAGGCCATCACAAATACGGAGCAGACGCAGCTACCTATAGGTACCTACATACATCCTTACCCTTTTCTCTCGCACCGTTTCCTCTTTCGGGTGAATAGGTGGCCGGTCCGCGAGACAGAAGATATCGGAGTACCGTACCGTACCGTACGAACGAAAAAAAACCCGCTCTTCCATATCCCTACCTACCTACCTACCTACCTACCTACCTACCCATACCCCCCCTCCCACGTATACCAGTCCGCTTTTCTTCCTTCTTCCTCCTTCCTTTTCTCCCTTTCTCCCTTTCTCCCTTTCTCCCTTTCTCCCTTTCTCCCCTTCTCCCCTTCTTCTTCTTCCTCCTCTTTCCCTTTTTTTAAATCCAGAAAACAAAGTTTCCCAATCCAATCACTTCACCCCACCCCACCCCACCTTACCTTAAAATACTACTACTATACTACGGTACTAGTAACACCACCAAGCATTTCGGCTATCGCACGTACGTATTGTACCGAATAAACACAAACACAAACACAAACACAAACACAAATCCAACATCAACATCAACAGCAACATCAACACCCCGATACCTTACCTGCCTACCTTACCTACCTACCGTACTGTACTGTACTGTACTGTACTGTACTGTACTGTACTGCCTGCTTTTGATGAAGAGCATTTGCAAACAGACAAACAGACAAACAAACCTCGCTCGGAAAGTATACATGTATGTATATATATGTATATATATATTCACACCTCGATCGTACTATGGATGAGCTACCCCCTCATAATCATATATCCAGCTCTTCCACAATCACAATCCAAGAACACGACGAGTTTGAGATGGAAAAGATACTATTCATTGATATATCACCAAGCCTTTAAAGATTACACGTGAGCAGATGAATAATACAAAAAAAAAAAAAATCATACGCTCGCTAGATTGGACCAGAAAAAAAGAAAATCCACGGGGATCATCTACGGGTATCTGACACTGAACTGCGCGAGAAGCTGACTCCGTGAAAGATCCTGCAAGCCCAGCTTCCTCATGTTCCTTCCACTCTCCATATAGTCGATCCCGGTGGCTATGCTCGCCAGGTCGATGACGGCTTTGATGGGGGACGCGTTGATCTCCAGCTTTTCCGCCAGGCCGTGCCACTGTAGAAAACACCCAAAGAGTCAGCAAAGCGGCCCCCCAACGTGCCCGGAACCACGGAGGCAGCAACCTACACAAACGAGAAGGTCGGGAACGTCTTCCGAGAGGTTCCGATGATCCAGGATCCCCGGGGCCATCAGTTTGTTGTGCGGTTCCGAGTTGCGAGCCAGGTCCACCAGGTCCGTGAAGCGGGCGTTGTAGCACCGGTTGGATGTCGCGATCACACTGTCCAGCTTGAAGCCGAATGCCTTGCCGATCTCCAGCCGGACTCGGTCCACCGCGAGGATCGCATTAGCGACCGAGCGGGTGAGACCATCGGCGTACACCCGGAAATCGCCACCGGTATTTTCGATTCGTCCCGCGTTCATCAACATCATCAACTGGAATAGCACGGTGGGGTCAGTGGTTGCGGGCTGAAACTTCGTGGGGGGCAAGGACAAGGAAAAGGCGAGAAGGGCTCTGCTTCTACTCACTGGATGAAACACGCCGTTGATATTGGTCAAGGAGACCTCGATCACGTTGTGGCTCCAACGGAGGCGCTGTCCACAGAAGATCCTCTCCACCTTAGCCTTGGAAATCAGGTCGCAATCGCCATGTAGCGCTGCAATGGAGAAGGAGCCCTTCTTCCCAAAAACCGCCAATGCCCCCTCGCTCATCCGGCACGAGTAGGGTGAGATGTTGGTCTCGAGGAAATTCCTGACCTTCAGGCCCGCGGTGGCAACCAGCGAGAACAGATTCCCGGGAACCGCGATGAGGGTGTGCTCGAGCAGAGAGAACCGTTCTAACTCGCAGAGGAGCGTTTCTTGCCCTGTCGATGGAACCGTGATGATGACGATCCTGGAGAACTCGACGGCCTCTTGCATATCCTGGAAGGCGGCGATGTCGGAGTCAGTCACCATTCGCGCAGCATCTCGGGGGGACGTCGGAGCATGACGGGGGAGACGCTCGGGGGTTAATGCCTTACCGACGTGATGTATAGCTTTGTCGATGCTTCAATGGCGCCGCTGACTTCGAGACCACCTCTCGAAATGACCGCTTCGGCATGTCGTCGATGGTCCGGATGTGAATAGAGCAATACGCTCGCTCCCTTCCTCTCCAGATCCACGGCCTACTCCACAGGTCAGTCCTGCTTCCTTCGGGTCACGCGAGAAACATCGACACTGCGAAGAGAATGGGGATGTCTGCTCACCAGTGCGAAGCCCGCCGGCCCGGCTCCCAGGATCGACACCTTCAGCTGGGTTGCAATCATCCTGCCGGCAGGTTTCACGTACTCCGCAGGAGGATTCGGTTAACGCACTCAGCCAGCCGGGAGGCCGGTGTGATGGACGTCTTGATATAGGTCTACAGCGATAAGTCTGTCTCTGGTTTCTATTTGCCGTTGAAGCTTGGACAGTTGGGAAGAGTTGCGAAGGGTTGCGAAGAGTAGTGGTCGACGAGACTTGAAAGTCTCCAGCGATCCCGTATCTCTCTCTCCAAGTCGGACCTATCGTCAAAGCCTTAACCAGTAGCGAAGCCTTGAACAGTTTTGCGAACAGTAGCAAAGAGTAGCGGTCGACAAGACTTGATCAAACATACACAGCGATCCCGTATCGTCAAAGGCCTCGACCACTTGCGCCGCCTGGAACGCGTGCAAGAGAGCAGCGATCAACGAGGCGCGAAGGCAGTATATAGAGTAGAGCAGAGCAGAGAGCAGAGCAGAGCAGAGCAGAGAGAGAGAGATCCGAGAGCCGGGCATGGCGGCGTTGTTTCGACGAAACAATAAGTAATAAGTGGGCACCGAAGGTGTACAGGTGAGATGCGGAGGCGTACCGACGGCGCTCGGTTTGAAGCTGATGGCGGATGGCGGATGGCTGATTGCGCTGGGCTGGGCTGGGCTGGGCTGGGCTGGGCTGGGCTGCGTTGCTTGAATGGGGGGGCTTGCGGGCCTGCTCTCCCAGCACCGTGGTTCGGGAAATGGTACCGTAACCTAAGGGAGTCGAGGCCCTGACTGCTGACCGGGGGGGAGGCCGGTATGGCATTCTAGCATGATCTAAGGGTAGGACTAGTATGTAGTACCGTATGTAGTATATTCATCTGAAGGAAGGAACGAGTCGGGCTAGCTAAGCTCCTCCTTCCCTGCATCTTGCATCTTGCATCTTGCATCTTGCCGCCTCTTGCCTCTTGCCTCTTGCCTCTTGGCTCCAACGTGATGCGGTTTGACAAATCTTCTCATAAGGGAAGGGGCAACCAAGAAGTACGTACTACAATGCGTGGTGCCTGATGTCGTGCGTCCGCGCGGGTCGCCGAGGTCAGCGAGCTAAAGTACTGTAGGTCTGGGCTCGCTGGTGTACCTGGACCTGGACCTGGACCTGACCTGGACCTGACCTGACCGGACCTGAGTCACGGCGACGCTTGGCCTGAGTCACGTCACGTCCAAGGGTTCCACAACGTCAAACGTCCAGAACCAGAGACTCGGGCGCGAGCCTGAATATAGGGTATGAAAGCTGATTTGAGCACATTTGCTCCTGTTCTTTGTGACTGGCCGACCGACCGGGGGGCCGCACGGCGTACGCCACCAGGACTGACCCCCGGCAGAGATCGGATCAGATCAGATCAGACCGGTCGGGGAATCCTGGCTACGTAGCGTGCGAAACAAAACAAACAAAAGAAAACCAAACAAAATAAAAAAAGGGGTTCAACGGGGTGGAGACTTCGCGTGCGCGGATCGATCCAAGAACGCTTTTGTCGATCCCAGCAGCCTGGTAAACTCCAGAGCCGCACCTGGATAGCCTACCTAATTATACGTTACAAGGTCTTGCCTCTGGCTGCCCTCCGCAAGCGCCGGGGCCAGAAGAGACCTTGCTTCGCCCGGTCGTGGTGCGAGGCTGCCTTCCGCATGAGCGCTACATCGATCTTCTATAAGAAATACGCTTTAAAAAGATGTAAAGAAAATGTGACGCTTCAGCCCGGCCGCAAGCTAAAACTTACGGCTTTTCGCAAGCTCCGGAGTAAGTTTTCCGGACTTCGCGGTATAATATTCGTAGCTATATAATTTATAATAATAGCTTCTTATAACGCATCACCTATCTATCGAATATTTTATTTATAGCAATAGCTTTTTTCATATAGAATAGCCTTTTTTTTATAGAATAGCCCTTTTCTTATTGAATAGCTTTTTTCCGCGCGATGCAGCCAGCTACTTTTCGAGCATTCAATTTACAGCAATAATTTTTTTCAGCTCGGTGCAGCTAGCTATTTTTCGAGCATGCAATTTATAGCGATATTGCTAGCTATTTTTCGCGCATTAAATTTAGTAGATTTCAATCGCAAAAGCGCAAACTCGTTATATTCGCAAGATTCTTATTTTCTTTATTAGTAAGTGATTAGTGTTAGAATATTGGACTGTCACCTATATTCCCTTGGTTGGACTAGCCTTTTGGCTCTCTTGGCTGTTCCCTTAGGAACACCTGTATTTAGCTCTTAGTACTCTTATACTGAATACTACACCTTTTGCACTCTTGATTCTATTATGGTAGCAATTTAATAGAATCAGAAAAACCTTAAAAACCTTTAATTAAAAATTTAAAAACAACTTAATTCAAATCTACTTTATACCTTACAATCAATATGCTATTAAAATCTATACTCGAAGAAGAAGAAAAACGCTTGCTAATAAAGGACAACTATTACCTTTGGAAGCCCGTAGCAATTAAAAAGCTTATGGAAAAGGGCGTATCTTAGCACGTCTTCAAAGGTCTATTCCTTCGACCTTAGAATATAATAGGAAGCTAAAGATAGGATAAAGATAAAAGAGAAGCTTTATCGATCATCATTTTACTTTTATCGGAATACACTTTTACTTAGTATATAGATATGGCTTTTTAAAACGACTTTCGGATTCTTTAAAACGCGATTGCTACTTAATAGAAAGCTATTGTTAACGGCGCGGGCAACTAAGATAACTTCGAGACTCAGCTATAAAACGAGAAGTATATTTTATTAGCTAAGACCGTCGACATTTATTTGTATCGATTACGCAACCTTTAAGCGCAATTGAAGGCGTACCTTAATTGCTTTAACGATAATAAAGTGAAGGATATCTTTATTAAAGGATTACTTAATTTAAGCTTTTGGCTTATGATTAAGATGCAATTTCGCTTTTTTAATAAATCCTTTTAAGATACGTTCGTTGCTTTTAAGGTCTTAAAAGTTCAATACGCTATCGAGCTTAAAACCGTCCACACCGCTTTAGTACTCGAGGACTTTATGGTCGCAATAGAAGCAAACGAATCGCGTTATATGAGCAAGAGAGGTGGACGAAGACGAGGACGAAGGCGCGCATAAAGAAGGAGAGGAAGAGGACGCGGACGAGGAGGTATATACAAGAGGAATAAAGACAAGAATTGCTACGCTTGCGGCATAAATAATCATTGGATCTTTAAGTGCTTGAATAAAAGAGCTGTAGAGGAATATTATCGAAAGAAGAAGACTAGTAGCAAGAATGAGGCAGCGAATAGCGCTGAAGTGGTGGAGTAAATTGAAAATGATTCTATGTATTACCGTTCTTAAAGTAAAACCGCGCTAACGATTAAAGAGCTAGAAGCTTTTGCAGTTACTAGTACTTCCGTAGTATAAAAAGTAGACTTTAGCGCTACTATACATTTCTTAAGAAGCAAGGACGACTTTATAAACCTTTAGAAGTGGGAGTCTAAGAAGTACGTCAAAATAGCTAATAATACCGTTATTAAAGCGTGAGGATATAATAACTGTATTATTAAAGCCTTAGAACTTAAAAACGTATAGTACGTCTTTGAATTTAAGAATATAAGATTAATCTCGGTATTACGTTTAGCGGACAAGAATATATTTATTAGCTTTAGCAAACACGATGTTAAAAGCTTGAAAAATAAGGAACTAGCATTTATTATTACGAGAACTAAAAGAGGTTTGTATATTTTATTCTTATCGATTGCTAATACTACTACTATATCTTTCGCAATTGAGTAAGCGAATAATAAGTCGAATATAAGACTTATTATTATGCGAGATAATATAGAAACAACTAAGTCTTCCGATAAAATATAAGCAGATCTATTATATAAGCGCTTAAGCTATATAAACTTCGATTATATTAAGAAGTTGATTAACGCTGATTACAGTTTAAAAATGTTTAAATCAATTAAATCGAAAAGAAAGGACGCGTGCGAGAGCTGCTTGGCAAGTCGAATAAAAGAGTATTATAATAAGAAAACCGATTTTAAGAGCGATCGAAAACTCTATCGATTATACCCGGATATCTTTAGCATACTATCAACTTTTATTAAAAGCTATAAATACTTCTTATTAGTAGTGGACGACGCATATAAGTGTTGCTGGGTAGAATTGCTAAAGACGAAGACTATAAAAGAGATACTTTCGATTATTAAAAACTTTAAAGAAAAGCTCGAAAGGCAGAGCAATAGCGTAATAGTAACTTAGCGAACAGATAATAGAATTAAAGAGTTCGGAAACGCTTTCGTTAGCTAGCTTTTTTAAAGAGGGATGATATCGGAAATGGCTCTTTTATATAAATAATCGTTTAATAGAGTTGTAAAGCATATGATATAAGAGCTTTCGAAAATCGTAAGATCAATTTTATTCGACTCGAAGCAAGGATATATAATGTAGTGCTACGCATTAGAATACGCGTGCAAGCTAAAGAATAAAAAACTTATTAAAGCTTTCTCGTTTAAATCGATATAAAGAATTACGCTATTAAAAGCTTAAAAAAGCAAGACCGAGGACTTTTCGAAACTGAGAGTATTTAGCTTAATAGCTATTCCGTTAAAGCTTAAAGAAAAACAATTTTATAAACTCGACTTACGAATTAAAGCTGGATCGTAGATCTTAGTTAGCATGATAAGCTTTTGCTTATACAAGCTATTGAACGTTGAGATTCTTTAAGAGCTTATTATTATAGACGTTAAATTTATTGAATACGAAACTTATATCGTTAATGCTAAGATCTTATAAGAAACCTCGACTAAAGCTTCGATTAAAGCACTTTCGAGGAAAAAGAAGCGTATTTTAGACGCTTAACTGCAGTTAAGACTTGATCTAAACGTCGGCAAGCTAAGGAATACCGTCCTTATAATACTTAGCACTATTAAAGCTGCTAAAGGTAAGAATTCAATTGGAGTTGCTTAGAAGGACTTATCTGGAGTTGCTTTAATAATAAAGGAAAATACTAAAGGAGAGATTGATTACTTCGTTCTAAAATCAACTTGTATT